ACTAACTAACTAACTAACTAACTAACTAACTAACTAACTAACTAACTAACTAACTAACTAACTAACTAACTAACTAACTAACTAACTAACTAACTAACTAACTAACTAACTAACTAACTAACTAACTAACTAACTAACTAACTAACTACTAACTAACTAACTAACTAACTAACTAACTAACTAACTAACTAACTAACTAACTAACTAACTAACTAACTAACTAACTAACTAACTAACTAACTAACTAACTAACTAACTAACTAACTAACTAACTAACTAACTAACTAACTAACTAACTAACTAACTAACTAACTAACTAACTAACTAACTAACTAACTAACTAACTAACTAACTAACTAACTAACTAACTAACTAACTAACTAACTAACTAACTAACTAACTACTAACTAACTAACTAACTAACTAACTAACTAACTAACTAACTAACTAACTAACTAACTACTAACTAACTAACTAACTAACTAACTAACTAACTAACTAACTAACTAACTAACTAACTAACTAACTAACTAACTAACTACTAACTAACTAACTAACTAACTAACTAACTAACTAACTAACTAACTACTAACTAACTAACTAACTAACTAACTAACTAACTAACTAACTAACTAACTAACTACTAACTAACTAACTAACTAACTAACTAACTAACTAACTAACTAACTAACTAACTAACTAACTAACTAACTAACTAACTAACTAACTAACTAACTAACTACTACTAACTACTAACTAACTAACTAACTAACTAACTAACTAACTAACTAACTAACTAACTAACTAACTACTAACTAACTAACTAACTAACTAACTAACTAACTAACTAACTAACTACTAACTAACTACTAACTAACTACTAACTAACTAACTAACTAACTAACTAACTAACTAACTAACTAACTAACTAACTAACTAACTAACTAACTAACTAACTACTAACTAACTAACTAACTAACTAACTAACTAACTAACTAACTAACTAACTAACTAACTAACTAACTAACTAACTAACTAACTAACTAACTAACTAACTAACTACTAACTAACTAACTAACTAACTAACTAACTAACTAACTAACTAACTAACTAACTAACTAACTAACTAACTACTAACTAACTAACTAACTAACTAACTAACTAACTAACTAACTAACTAACTAACTAACTAACTACTAACTAACTAACTAACTAACTAACTACTACTAACTAACTAACTAACTAACTAACTAACTAACTAACTAACTAACTAACTAACTAACTAACTAACTAACTAATAACTAACTAATAACTACTAACTACTACTAACTAACTAACTAACTAACTACTAACTAACTAACTAACTAACTAACTAACTAACTACTAACTAACTAACTAACTAACTAACTAACTACTAACTAACTAACTACTAACTAACTAACTAACTAACTAACTACTAACTAACTAACTAACTAACTAACTAACTAACTAACTAACTAACTAACTAACTAACTAACTAACTAACTAACTAACTAACTAACTAACTAACTAACTAACTAACTAACTAACTAACTAACTAACTAACTAACTAACTAACTAACTAACTAACTAACTACTACTAACTAACTAACTAACTAACTAACTAACTAACTAACTAACTAACTAACTACTAACTAACTAACTAACTAACTAACTAACTAACTAACTACTAACTAACTAACTAACTAACTAACTAACTAACTAACTAACTAACTAACTAACTAACTAACTAACTAACTAACTAACTACTAACTAACTAACTAACTAACTAACTACTAACTAACTAACTAACTAACTAACTAACTACTAACTAACTAACTAACTAACTACTAACTAACTAACTAACTACTAACTAACTACTAACTAACTAACTAACTAACTAACTAACTAACTAACTAACTAACTAACTAACTAACTAACTAACTAACTAACTAACTAACTAACTAACTAACTAACTAACTAACTAACTAACTAACTAACTAACTAACTAACTACTAACTAACTAACTAACTAACTAACTAACTAACTAACTACTAACTAACTAACTAACTAACTAACTAACTAACTAACTAACTAACTAACTAACTAACTAACTACTAACTAACTAACTACTAACTAACTACTAACTAACTAAACTAACTAACTAACTAACTAACTAACTAACTAACTAACTAACTAACTAACTAACTAACTAACTACTAACTAACTAACTAACTAACTAACTAACTAACTAACTAACTACTAACTATAACTAACTAACTAACTACCTACTAACTAACTAACTAACTAACTAACTAACTACTAACTACTAACTAACTAACTAACTAACACTAACTAACTAACTAACTAACTAACTAACTAACTAACTACCTAACTACTAACTAACTAACTAACTAACTAACTAACTAACTAACTACCTAACTAACTAACTAACTAACTAACTAACTAACTAACTAACTAACTAACTAACTAACTAACTAACTAACTAACTAACTACTACTAACTAACTACCTAACTACTAACTAACTAACTAACTAACTAACTAACTAACTAACTAACTAACTAACTAACTAACTAACTAACTACTAACTAACTAACTAACTAACTAACTAATAACTAACTAACGAACTAACTAACTAACTAACTAACTAACTAACTAACTAACTAACTAACTAACTAACTAACTAACTAACTAAACTAACTAACTAACTAACTAACTAACTAACTAACTAACTAACTACTACTAACTAACTAACTAACTAACTAACTAACTAACAACTAACTAACTAACAACTACTAACTAACTAACTAACTAACTACTAACTAACTAACTAACTAACTAACTAACTAACTAACTAACTAACTAACTAACTACTAATAACTACTAACTAACTAACTAACTACTAACTACAACAATACTAACTACTAACTATAACTAACTACTACTAACTAACTAACTAACTAACTAACTAACTAACTAACTAACTAACTAACTAACTAACAACTACTAGACTAACTAACTAAACTAACTAACTACTAACTACTAACGAAAATGAATTAGTCACTGAGAAGTAATGTTTTTTAAGTAAGGCACAAGTCTTACTACTATGGTTTTGGCTGGGTAAGATAAACATGGGTGCCCCGATAGTCATACTTGGTAGTGTGCTAGCCTGGCAGTCTGGTGGTTGTGGGTTCGATTTCCACTAGAGACTCTGGTCTACTATAACGGGCGTATGATAATCTGCAAGATTATCATAATTCGTTTGGAAAATCCTCGTCTAAATTTACACAAAAGAATTTGTGGTTTTAATATCTATAATATTTATTTTCTAACTATAAATTGCTAACGAATTGACTCACTTCAATCACTTATCATTCAGTATTTCAGTAATTAATAACTTGAGACCTTAAATAATAAAAATGTATTCAATAAATCTTCTATTTGTATTGGCTATTGCCTTAGTCATGTATATAAACTATGCAGATGCTGGAAATCAACTTGGAGTATTTATCCTATTAAAACTAAAACATTGTTATTTAAAAATGTTTGCATAATAATCTCTTAATTTTGGCAGAAAGCGGTGAAAGAAGGTGCTCAAAAAGTTCCTAAAATACCTATTGTTGTGGGCGCTTATTCAGCTAATAAAACTCATGATATACATATCAATACAAATCCACCATCAGTTAGTTATAAGTCAAGACCTAATTCGCCTAAGAAAACTTAATGGGCCTAACTTTTACTGAGCTTTATTTCTTTCACATGATTTTAAGCAGTTTCATTATAAATAAACGATTTTTTAAAAATATGTATGCTTCTTTCTGATTCTTTTATATGTAAATTTATTATAAACTGAACTAGAACTGAACATAGACTGACTAGAAACTTGAACTACAACTGAACTAGAACTAACTAGAACTGAACTAGAACTGAACTAGAACTGAACTAGAACTGAACTAGAACTGAACTAGAACTGAACTAGAACCTGAACTAGAACTGAACTAGAACTGAAGAACTAGAACTGAACTAGAACTGAACTAGAACTGAACTAGAACTGAACTAGAACTGAACTATAACTGAACTAGAACTGAACTAGAACTGAACTAGAACTGAACTAGAACTGAACTAGAACGAACTATAACTGACTAGAACTGAACTAGAACTGAACTAGACTGAACTAGAACTGAACTATGAACTGAACTAGAACTGAACTAGAACTGAACTAGAACTGAACTAGAACTGAACTAGAACTGAACTAGAACTGAACTAGAACTGAACTAGAATTGAACTAGAACTGAACTAGAACTGAAGTAGAACTGAACTAGAACTGAACTAGAACTGAACTAGAACTGAACTAGAACTGAACTAGAACTGAACTAGAACTGAACTAGAACTGAACTAGAACTGAACTAGAACTGAACTAGAACTGAACTAGAACTGAACTAGAACTGAACTAGAACTGAACTAGACTGTACTAGAACTGAACTAGAACTGAACTAGAACTGAACTAGAACTGAACTAGAACTGAACTAGAACTGAACTAGAACTGTACTAGAACTGAACTAGAACTGAACTAGAACTGAACTAGAACTAATAGAACTGAACTAGAACTGAACTAGAACTGAACTAGAACTGAACTAGAACTGAACTAGAACTGAACTAGAACTGAACTAGAACTGAACTAGAACTGAACTAGTACTGAACTAGAACTGAACTAGAAACTGAACTAGACTGAACGAGAACCCTGAACTAGAACTGAAACTAGAACTGGAACTAGACTGAACTAGAACTGAACCTAGAACTGAACTAGAACTGAAACTAAGAACTGAACTAGAACTAAAAATTAGAAACTACAAACTGAACTAGAACTCAACAATTAACGATGTAGATCTTAAACATAAATAAAAAAACTTTCGTTTTAATATTAACCAATTTTATACCATTTTTAATATGTTTTCTGAGATATTACGAGTTTCTTTTAAAATTTTTAAGAATCCGTATTAACATCGATATCTACATATGAATTGGTAACATAACCTACTGCAACAACTGTGTGGCCTCTGTATTACTGGCTATTAATGCTGCTTCCTAAATTAATTGAAATATATAAAGTAACTTCTTTAAATTAATTTTCAAGAAAAAGTAATAACATTAAAGAAGAAATTCTGAAACTACATCACCACTCATCAGCTTTGTGTTCAATTTTAAAAACTTGATTACCAGCCTCTAGAAAGTTCATGGACAAAGTAATGGCAATAAACAAAATGAAGAATACTTTGGTAAAAAACATTTTTGAAATAAAATTTAACTCGTGAACTATCTTCGAAAGTAATAATAATATTAAATGATAAATTAAACAATATTCTGCTAAGCTCTTTTCACAATCAAAATTTCATAAATAGATCATAATGAAAGAAATATATTTTTATTAAACCACAAAAAGAAAAATACGATTATTTTATAAATTGATCAATTCTTTAGAGTAGACAATAGACCAGTATATAAACTAGACCACAGAATATACTATAGACTAGTATATAGGTTAGCCTATAAACTAGACTATAACTGGACTATAGAATAGACTATGGACTAGACTAGACTATAGACTAAACTATTAACTAGACTATATAATAAACTACAAACTAGGCTATAGAATGGACTATAAACTAGACTATAGACTGGACTATAGACTAGACTGCAGACTAGAGTATACACTAGACTATAGACTAGACAATAGGCTGGACTATAGACAAGACTTCAGACTAGAGTATACACCAGACTATAGATTACACCATAAACTGCGCTTAGATTAAACTATAGAATAGATTATAGACTGGAGTATAGACTAGGTTTAGACTATATTATAGCCTAGACTATAGACTAGACTATAGACTAGACTATAGACTAGACTATAGACTAGACTATAGACTAGACTATAGACTAGACTATAGACTAGACTATAGACTAGACTATAGACTAGACTATAGACTAGACTATAGACTAGACTATAGACTAGACTATAGACTAGACTATAGACTAGACTATAGACTAGACTATAGACTAGACTATAGACTAGACTATAGACTAGACTATAGACTAGACTATAGACTAGACTATAGACTAGACTATAGACTAGACTATAGACTAGACTATAGACTAGACTATAGACTAGACTAGAGACTAGACTATACTAGACTATAGACTAGACTATAGACTAGACTATAGACTAGACTATAGACTAGACTATAGACTAGACTACAGACTAGACTATAGACTAGACTATAGACTAGACTATAGACTAGACTATAGACTAGACTATAGACTAGACTATAGACTAGACTATAGACTAGACTACAGACTAGACTATAGACTAGACTATAGACTAGACTATAGACTAGACTATAGACTAGACTATAGACTAGACTATAGACTAGACTATAGACTAGACTATAGACTAGACTATAGACTAGACTATAGACTAGACTATAGACTAGACTATAGACTAGACTATAGACTACACTATAGACTAGACTATAGACTAGACTATAGACAAGACTATAGACTAGACTATAGACTAGACTATAGACTAGACTATAGACTAGACTATAGACTAGACTATAGACTAGACTATAGACTAGACTATAGACTAGACTATAGACTACACTATAGACTAGACTATAGACTAGACTATAGACAAGACTATAGACTAGACTATAGACTAGACTATAGACTAGACTATAGACTAGACTATAGACTAGACTATAGACTAGACTATAGACTAGACTATAGACCTAGACTAGCTAGACTAGACTATAGACTAGACTATAGACTAGACTATAGACTAGACTATAGACTAGACTATAGACTAGACTATAGACTACTAGGACTAATATAGACTAGACTATAGACTAGACTATAGACTAGACTATAGACTAGACTATAGACTAGACTATAGACTAGACTATAGACTAGACTATAGACTAGACTATAGACTAGACTATAGACTAGACTATAGACTAGACTATAGACTAGACTATAGACTAGACTATAGACTAGACTATAGACTAGACTATAGACTTAGACTATAGACTAGACTATAGACTAGACTAGACTAGACTAGACTAGACTAGACTATAGACTATAGGACTATAGACTATAGACTATAGACTATAGATTATAGACTATAGACTAGACTAGACTAGACTAGACTAGACTAGACTAGACTATAGACTATAGACTATAGACTATAGACTATAGACTATAGACTAGACTATAGACTATAGACTATAGACTATAGACTATAGACTTAGACTATAGACTATAGACTATAGACTAGACTATAGACTATAGCTATAGACTATAGACTATAGACTATAGACTATAGACTAGACTATAGACTAGAGACTAGACTAGACTAGACTATAGACTATAGACTATACTATAGACTATAGACTATAGACTATGACTATAGACTATAGACTAGACTAGACTATAGACTAGACTAGAGACTAGACTATAGACTAGACTATAGACTAGACTACAGACTAGACTATAAACTAGACTATAGACTAGACATAGACTAGACATAGACTAGACTATAGACTAGACTATAGACTAGACTATAGACTAGACTATAGTCTTGACTCTAGTTTCGTCATTATTCAAATATACATTTTTTATACCAAAATTAAAGAAAAATGCAATAAAATTTTTAGACTACAGTCTTGACTTTAGTTTCGACCATACACCATAATATAGACTTGACTTTCGACTAGTATAAAGTCTTCACTTTAGACTAGTCAAGAATATAGTCTTGACTATAGATTAGTAGTTACTTTACCTTTCAAAAAAGAAATTCTTTATTCGAAAACTTAAAGAAAAATGCATCAACATTTGAAAATTGTTTTTGGCATAAAATTTTCTTAAATTATAACTGGCACAAACTATTTACATACACCGTCTCAGTAAAAGGAACAACAATTGAGCCACAACGTAGCCACTTAACCAGATATCTATTTTCAATATATTGCCACTTGATATAGTGCGACCATTAACCGAATTATATTTTTTCTATTATTTCCATTAATAATATTATCCTGGAAGATTAAGATTTATGAAGACATTTAAAATCTAGAAAGAAACCCATAATACTTACATCCTTTTGCTATGTTTTGTTAGATGATCTATATAGTCATCCTGGTAACAAGTCAGAATAATTAGTTAGATATGTTTTAAGAAAAATCGAAAATATTTAAAACTGACATCTAAAATACTCCTTTTAGCTTCGGAACGGTGGCAACGCGATCATCACAATTAATAATAACACAAGAAATACCAGATGTATTTCATACTGATAGTTCGTTGTTATTCCGATAGAAAAATAACGAACACTAAAATGATAAACTATATTGTCTGATATTTTATAGTTTCTAAATAGTTGCGACTATTAGGAAATACATGGCAGATTTCTTATTGCCAATTTACAAAGAATATTTATTTCTGATCCAATTGTGATTAAAAAGATCAGTTTCATTAAGCAATTATTTCTTATTAAGAATTGAAATAGGCTTTAATAAAACCTAAAACCACAATTCTGGCAGTAAAAATAATATTAACATTATTCTCAGAGACTTATGCCGAGAAGTTGGTCATTTTAGCATTCAGTATTATTTCGGTAGCTGAACGATCGGCAGTGAAAAAAAGTTCCAATATGAAAATCCTTCTATTTTCCTTATCGCTGCACCTGTTCTATTTAGCCTAAATTCCGTTGTAGCTTATAAAGGAAAAAGGTTTACATAGTAAGAATGATGATAATAACGAAGCCCTAAATAGCAACAGTATTTATCGAAATAAAGTAAGTACACGTATAAATTCCGTCAAACGATATTTCTCGATATCTAAAATGAATTCAAACAGTCTGATCCCCAATTATACTAATAATAACACTACTTTCTTAAAGGAAGAAGTTTACATTCGTGCTCATCATGTTCATAAAGTTGATGAAAATCGAGAAAAAGACATTTCAACGGCTGTTGTAAAGGATTCTAACGGTAATGTCCAGGAATCATCAAAAGTTTATATTTCAGATCTAAATCTCTAAGTGTAAATTGGTAATTTCTAAAAGTAAAATTGTAATTTCTAAAAGTAAAATTATAATTTCTAATTTTTAGATTTGTAAGTTTTCTGAACTTCTAAAAAGAAGTTCCATCTCAGTTCCAATTTAGTTCTAGTGAAGTTCAATCCTAGTTCAGTTCTAGTTCTGTTCTAGTTCTGTTCTAGTTCTGTTCTAGTTCTGTTCTAGTTCTGTTCTAGTTCTGTTCTAGTTCTGTTCTAGTTCTGTTCTAGTTCTGTTCTAGTTCTGTTCTAGTTCTGTTCTAGTTCTGTTCTAGTTCTGTCTAGTTCTGTTCGTTCTGTTCTAGTTCTGTTCTAGTTCTATTCTAGTTCTAGTTCTGTTCTAGTTCTGTTCTAGTTCTGTTCTAGTTCTGTTCTAGTTCTGTTCTAGTTCTGTTCTAGTTCTGTTCTAGTTCTGTTCTAGTTCTGTTCTAGTTCTGTTCTAGTTCTGTTCTAGTTCTGTTCTAGTTCTGATCTAGTTCTAATCTAGTTCTGATCTAGTTCTGTTCTAGTTCTGTTCTAGTTCTGTTCTAGTTCTGTTCTAGTTCTGTTCTAGTTCTGTTCTAGTTCGTTCTGTTCTAGTTCTGTTCTAGTTCTGTTCTAGTTCGTTCTAGTTCTGTTCTAGTTCTGTTCTAGTTCTGTTCTAGTTCTGTTCTAGTTCTGTTCTAGTTCTGTTCTAGTTCTGATCTAGTTCTGTTTCTAGTTCTGTTCTAGTTCTGTTCTAGTTCTGATCTAGTTCTCTAGTTCTGTCTAGTTCTGTTCTAGTTCTGTTCTAGTTCTGTTCTAGTTCTGTTCTAGTTCTGTTCTAGTTCTGTTCTAGTTCTGTTCTAGTTCTGTTCTAGTTCTGTTCTAGTTCTGTTCTAGTTCAGTTCTAGTTCTGTTCTAGTTCTGTTCTAGTTCTGTTCTAGTTCTGTTCTAGTTCTGTTCTAGTTCTGTTCTAGTTCTGTTCTAGTTCTGTTCTAGTTCTGTTCTAGTTCTGTTCTAGTTCTGTTCTAGTTCTGTTCTAGTTTGTTCTAGTTCTGTTCTAGTTCTGTTCTAGTTCTGTTCTAGTTCTGTTCTAGTTCTGTTCTAGTTCTGTTCTAGTTCTGTTCTAGTTCTGTTCTAGTTCTGTTCTAGTTCTGTTCTAGTTCTGTTCTAGTTCTGTTTCTAGTTCTGTTCTAGTTCTGTTCTAGTTCTGTTCTAGTTCTGTTCTAGTTCTGTTCTAGTTCTGTTCTAGTTCTGTTCTAGTCTGTTCTAGTTCTGTTCTAGTTCTGTTCTAGTTCTGTTCTAGTTTCTAGTTCTGTTCTAGTTCTGTTCTAGTTTCTGTTCTAGTTCTGTTCTAGTTCTGTTCTAGTTCTGTTCTAGTTCTGTTCTAGTTCTGTTCTAGTTCTGTTCTAGTTCTGTTCTAGTTCTGTTCTAGTTCTGTTTCTAGTTCTGTTCTAGTTCTGTTCTAGTTCTGTTCTAGTTCTGTTCTAGTTCTGTTCTAGTTCTGTTCTAGTTCTGTTCTAGTTCTGTTCTAGTTCTGTTCTAGTTCTGTTCTAGTTCTGTTCTAGTTCTGTTCTAGTTCGTTCTAGTTCTGTTCTGTTCTAGTTCTGTTCTAGTTCTGTTCTAGTGCTGTTCTAGTTCTGTTCTAGTTCTGTTCTAGTTCTGTTCTAGTTCTAGTTCTGTTCTAGTTCTGTTCTAGTTCTGTCTAGTTCTGTTCTAGTTCTGTTCTCGTTCTGTTATAGTTCTGTTCTAGTTCTGTTCTAGTTCTGTTCTAGTTCTGTTCTAGTTCTGTTCTAGTTCTGTTCTAGTTCTGTTCTAGTTCTGTTCTAGTTCTGTTCTAGTTCTGTTCTAGTTCTGTTCCAGTTCTGTTCTAGTTCTGTTCTAGTTCTGTTCTAGTTCTGTTCTAGTTCTGTTCTAGTTCTGTTCTAGTTCTGTTCTAGTTCTGTTCTAGTTCTGTTCTAGTTCTGTTCTAGTTCTGTTCTAGTTCTGTTCTAGTTCTGTTCTAGTTCTGTTCTAGTTCTGTTCTAGTTCTGTTCTAGTTCTGTTCTAGTTCTGTTCTAGTTCTGTTCTAGTTCTGTTCTAGTTCTGTTCTAGTTCTGTTCTAGTTCTGTTCTAGTTCTGTTCTAGTTCTGTTCTAGTTCTGTTCTATTCTTTCTATTCTAGTTCTGTTCTAGTTCTGTTCTAGTTCTGTTCTAGTTCTGTTCTAGTTCTGTTCTAGTTCTTGTTCTAGTTCTGTCTAGTTCTGTTCTAGTTCTGTTCTAGATCTGCTCTAGTTCTGTTTCTAGTTCTGTTCAAGTTCTGTTCTAGTTCTGTTCTAGTTCTGTTCTAGTTCTGTTCTAGTCTGTTCTAGATCTTTTCTAGTTCTGTTGTAGTTCAGTTCTAAATGATAACATTCCCGTATTCAAGTTTTAGGTTCTTAGCTGATCAAGCAGGAGTTCTCAAATGAAAGTAATACTATATTTTCTCATCGCTTATCAGTTTTGAACAGTTTTAACTTTGTTCAAGCTGCAATAGCGGGGTAAATAATTGAGAGGTATAAAAAGTTTAGTATTTCTGAAATTAAAGTTTTACAATTTTAGTTTATGACACGATTAAATGAAAATTTTGCAGCGGAAGGATTTTCAGCAAATATTAAAAATGTGATCTTAAGTGTTGATGTTATATGCCGTACTGTATCTTTAGACTTTTCTATATAAATTTCTTAACCGCAATTTTATAAATAAATGTTGAAAATAAATATATAAAACATTTTTTCTTCATAAATTGTAAATTAGTTTATTGTGTGCACTCATTTGTGAATTAAAGTTTTATAAAAACATCATCTCCTTTAAAAAATGAAGTTTCAATTAATTATTTATTAATTACTCTGTGCTTGATGTCCTTAATAGAAAATATTGATGGCAAAGGGTACTTATATACATACAAATCATTTATCTTTATAATAATTTAAATTTTGTTAATATAATTTTAAGATTTTAAAATATGTCAATGATGATAAAGAAGAAGCTATTGTCTATGATAATGGTGATTACATATTATAAGAATAAAGTAACCGGTGAAATAATGATGAATGTAGTCTATATTATATTATTTATTTATGAAAATAATGTTTATTGTTTTTCTTGTTAATTTCGCATCAATTGTACAACAGAATAGAGGATGAGAATTTGCAATTCAAATGGTAGAAGTGACCAAAACTAAAATTTTCCCCTTGGATTGTATAGTTTTTTATGTTTTGGAAGATGATTTTAAACTTTTATTTCTTTAATAAAAAAAATATTTAACTTAATTTGTATGGTTCTTAACTAGAACATAACCAGAACAGAAACTAGGACAGAACTAGAACAGAACTAGAACAGAACTAGAACAGAACTAGAACAAAACTAGAACAGAACTAGAACAGAACTAGAACAGAACTAGAACAGAACTAGAACAGAACAGAACTAGAAACAGAACTAGAACAGAACTAGAACAGAACTAGAACAGAACTAGAACAGAACTAGAACAGAAACTAGAACAGAACTAGAACAGAACTAGAACAGAACTAGAACAGAACTAGAACAGAACTAGAACAGAACTAGAACAGAACTAGAACAGAACTAGAACAACAGAACTAGAACAGAACAGAACTAGAACAGAGAACTAGAACAGAACTAGAACAGAACTAGAACAGAACTAGAACAGAACTAGAACAGAACTAGAACAGAACTAGAAACAGAACTAGAACAGAACTAGAACAGAACTAGAACAGAACTAGAACAGAACTAGAACAGAACTAGAACAGAACTAGAACAGAACTAGAACAGAACTAGAACAGAACTAGAACAGAATTAGAACAGAATTAGAACAGAACTAGAACAGAACAGAACTAGAACAGAACTAGAACAGAACTAGAACAGAACTAGAACAGAACTAGAACAGAACTAGAACAGAACTAGAACAGAACTAGAACAGAACTAGAACAGAACTAGAACAGAACTAGAACAGAACTAGAACAGAACTAGAACAGAACTAGAACAGAACTAGAACAGAACTAGAACAGAACTAGAACAGAATTAGAACAGAATTAGAACAGAACTAGAACTAGAACAGAACTAGAACAGAACTAGAACAGAACTAGAACAGAACTAGAACAGAACTAGAACAGAACTAGAACAGAACTAGAACAGAACTAGAACAGAACTAGAACAGAACTAGAACAGAATTAGAACAGAATTAGAACAGAACTAGAACAGAACAGAACAGAACTAGAACAGAACTAGAACAGAACTAGAACAGAACTAGAACAGAACTAGAACAGAACTAGAACAGAACTAGAACAGAACTAGAACAGAACTAGAACAGAACTAGAACAGAACTAGAACAGAACTAGAACAGAACTAGAACAGAACTAGAACAGAACTAGAACAGAACTAGAACAGAACTAGAACAGAACTAGAACAGAACTAGAACAGATCTAGAACATAACTAGAACAGAACTAGAACAGAACTAGAACAGAACTAGAACAGAACTAGAACAGAACTAGAACAGAACTAGAACAGAACTAGAACAGAACTAGAACAGAACTAGAACAGAACTAGAACAGAACTAGAACAGAACTAGAACAGAACTAGAACAGAACTAGAACAGAACTAGAACAGAAACTAGAACAGAACTAGAACAGAACTAGACAGAACTAGAACAGACTAGAACAGAACTAGAACAGAACTAGAACAGAACTAGAACAGAACTAGAACAGAACTAGAACAGAACTATGAACCAGAACTAGAACAGAACTAGAACAGAACTAGAACAGAACTAGAACAGAACTAGAACAGAACTAGAACAGAACTATAACAGAACTAGAACAGAACTAGAACAGAACTAGAACAGAACTAGAACAGAACTAGAACAGAACTAGAACAGAACTAGAACAGAACTAGAACAGAACTAGAACAGAACTAGAACAGAACTAGAACAGAACTAGAACAGAACTAGAACAGAACTAGAAGAACTAGAACAGAAACTAGAACAGAAACTAGAAACAGAACTAGAACAGAAACTAGAACAGAACTAGAACAGAACTAGAAACAGCAACTAGAACAGAACTAGAACAGAACTAGAACAGAACTAGAACAGAACTAGAACAGAACTAGAACAGAACTAGAACAGAACTAGAACAGAACTAGAACAGAACTAGAACAGAACTAGAACAGAACTAGACAGAACTAGAACAGAACTAGAACAGAACTAGAACAGAACTAGAACAGAAACTAGACAGAACTAGAACAGAACTAGACCAGAACTAGAACAGAACTAGAACAGAACTAGAACAGAAATTAGAACAGAACTAGAACAGAACTAGAACAGAACTGAACAGAACTAGAACAGAACTAGAACAGAACTAGAACGAACTAGAAACAGAACTAGAACAGAACTAGAACAGAACTAGACAGAACTAAAACAGAACTAGAACAGAACTAGAACAGAACTAGAACAGAACTAGAACAGAACTAGAACAGAACTAGAACAGACTAGAAACAGAAACTAGAACAGAACTAACAGAACTAGAACAGAACTAGAACAGAACTAGAACAGAACAGACTAGAACAGAACTAGAACAGAACAGAACAGACTAGAACAGAACTAGAACAGAACTAGAACAGAACTAGAACAGAACTAGAACAGAACTAGAACAGAACTAGAACAGAACTAGAACAGAACTAGAACAGAACTAGAACAGAACTAGAACAGAACTAGAACAGAACTAGAACAGACTAGAAACTAGAACAGAACTAGAACAGAACTAGAACAGAACTAGAACAGAACTAGAACAGAACTAGAACAGAACTAAAACAGAACTAAAACAGAACTAGAACAGAACTAGAACAGAACTAGAACAGAACTAGAACAGAACTAGAACAGAACTAGAACAGAACTAGAACAGAACTAGAACAGAACTAGAACAGAACTAGAACAGAACTAGAACAGATCTAGAACATAACTAGAACAGAACAAATGAAAATCTAAATTTAAAACATTTATTTTTATTAAAATTTATTGAATGTTCTATTATGATTTTATAAATTAGTTGGTCGTATTTTTAAATTTATTAAAATTCAGGACCACGTTTCGGGCCATTTTAAATCTTCATATATTTTACATTTAAATAATTGTAAATAAAATGAATCATATATAAAATATATTAAATATACGCGATTTACTTGAAATAAGAAAAAGAAAAGAAACAATTTTAATTATTATTAAAATTAAATTATTTTCAACTTACACCTGAAAAAGACATATATGAACCAGATGCCTTATCCATCATAACGTTGTCGCCATTATCATTGACCATCATAACTGAGCCTTCACCATCATCCATATAGGTTTTTGCCTTTAAATATGTTTTAAACAAAGTTTAAATATTATAAAACACGGGAAGGATTTTCGAAAAAAAGATGGAATTCTTAACTTACACCAGTTGTATATATAGATGACTTAGGTTTTTTACCGATAATAACGTTACTTCCACCCACGTATGACCCACGCTTAGATGACCCACTCTTAGATGAAGCACCCATATATGACCCACCATTAAATGAAGCACCCATTGATGGCCCACCCTTGAACAAGTTACAAAAAATTAAGTTAAATATTAATAATTACTAAATTTATTTTTTTTAAATCAGTATATTTATCAATTTCAATCAATAAATATATAGAAAAACTATATATTTTCAACTTACCACAGAGGCAGACATGGCGGAGCCATCGGCGGCGTCATACATTACGGCACTGTACTGGGCATTAAGATTTTTTATTAATAACGCCAAACAAATTGTCGTTATTAGGAGAAATAAATTGAAAACCTTCATATTTGATATCTGGTATTAAACTTTTTATTTTAATAAAATATGATGAAAACGCGGAAAGTACACTCAACCAACTAACACTTATTCAAGAAAAAATAGTGTTTTTATATATTTTTCCTCATCAGTTATATGAAAATTATATGAATAATGTGTTTAATAATATCGGAATTAGTAATATGTGGTTTATTTAAATTAGTACTCTCTATTAATATTCAGTTATATATAAGATTCTTAAGGTTTCTTGCTTTTTTGACGACAAACCTAACAAGTTAATAGAACTGAAGTAGAACTGAACTAAACTGAACTAACTGAACTAGACTGAACTAGAACTGAAACTAGAACTGAACTAGAAACTGAACTAGAACTGAACTAGAACTGAACTAGAACTGAACTAGAACTGAACTAGAAACTGAACTAGAACTGAACTAGAACTGAACTAGAACTGAACTAGACTGAACTAGAACTGAACTAGAACTGAACTAGAACTGACTAGAACTGAACTAGAACTGAACTAGAACTGAACTAGAACTGAACTAGAACTGAACTAGAACTGAACTAGAACTGAACTAAGAACTGAACTAGAACTGAACTAGAACTGAACTAGAACTGAACTAGAACTGAACTAGAACTGAACTAGAACTGAACTAGAACTGAAACTAGAACTGAACTAGAACTGAACTAGAACTGAACTAGAACTGAACTAGAACTGACTAGAACTGAACTAGAACTGAATGAACTGAGAACTGAACTAGAACTGAACTAGAACTGAACTTAGAACTGAACTAGAACTGAACTAGAACTGAACTAGAACTGAACTAGAACTGAACTAGAACTGAACTAGAACTGAACTAGACCTGAACTAGAACTGAACTAGAACTGAACTAGAACTGAACTAGAACTGAACTAGAACTGAACTAGAACTGAACTAGAACTGAACTAGAACTGAACTAGAACTGAACTAGAACTGAACTAGAACTGAACTAGAACTGAACTAGAACTGAACTAGAACTGAACTAGAACTGAACTAGACTGAACTAGAACTGAACTAGAACTGAACTAGAACTGAACTAGAACTGAATTAGAAGAACTGAACTAGAACTGAACTAGAACTAAACTGGAACTAGAACTAAACTCAATTTAACATATAACCAATCTTTTTATTTTTCTTAACTTACTCTCTAATACAATTTCTTTTTAACTTAAACCAATTAAAAATGTTTATATAAATAATTTTTTTTCAAAATATCCTAAAAAATCTTAAATTTTTTTTAGTAATATTTATTCATAAACCCCGCAAATAATAAAATGGAACAAATTCCAATATTTAAGTCCAATTTAGAACTACCAGATCTGTAGACTTTTGTAGACTCCTGTACATTACCATTGGCATCTTTAACCACTACAGTGTCTTTGTGAAAAGGACCCAACTTATCATGTTTAGTATGTACCGTGGCTTGTTTCTAAAATAAAATATTTTCAAATAATGAATCTTAAATATTGATTGAACATTTGTATATAAACTCACATCATTGCGATAAATGCTATTGCTATTTAAAGCATCCGAGAAGTCATGATCAGAATCTTTTTCATGATCTTGACCATTGCCTGCAACAGATTTAGAACAGATCAAAACTACAGCGGTAATGAGGATAAGTATGTAGAGTTTCATGTTGTATTCGCTATTCGCTCGGTTTGACAATTACAACTGATCATAAGAATGATCAACTTCTTTATTTATGTATTTAAGAAATTTTAAAATTATATATGTATACATATTGTGGTTATAAAAAGGAAATTTTTTTAGAAAATATCTTGTTTATAATATACATTTTAAAAATAAATTTTACTGAATTTTTTATTATCAACCAGATGAAATCAAACTAAAAGACATTTCAGTCTTGAAACATTTTAAATTTTGACGCAGCATTCTATAAAGCTGATGTAAAACCGAACTAAAACTGAATTAAAACTAATCTTAAACTGAACTCGAACTGAACTAGAACTGAACTAGAACTGAACTACAACTGAACTACAACTGAACTACAACTGAACTAGAACTGAACTAGAACTGAACTAGAACTGAACTAGAACTGAACTAGAACTGAACTAGAAACTGAACTAGAACTGAACTAGAACTGAACTAGAACTGAACTAGAACTGAACTAGAACTGAACTAGAACTGAACTAGAACTGAACTAGAACTGAACTAGAACTGAACTAGAACTGAACTAGAACTGAACTAGAACTGAACTAGAACTGAACTAGAACTGAACTAGAACTGAACTAGAACTGAACTAGAACTGAACTAGAACTGAACTAGAACTGAACTAGAACTGAACTAGAACTGAACTAGAACTGAACTAGAACTGAACTAGAACTGAACTAGAACTGTAACTAGACGAACTAGAACTAGAACTGAACTAGAACTGAACTACTGAACTAGAACTAAGAAACTGAACTAGAACTGAACTAGAACTGAACTAGACTGACTAGAACTGAACTAGAACTGAACTAAACTGAACTAGAACTGAACTAGAACTGAACTAGAACTGAACTAGAACTGAACTAGAACTCATGAACTAGACTGAACTAGAACTGAACTAGAAACTGACTAGAACTGAACTAGAACTGAACTAGGAACTGAATTAGAACTGAACTAGAACTGGAACTAGAACTAAACTGGAACTAGACTAAACTCAATTTAACATATAACCAATCTTTTTATTTTTCTTAACTTACTCTCTAATACAATTTCTTTTTAACTTAAACCAATTAAAAATGTTTATATAAATAATTTTTTTTCAAAATATCCTAAAAAATCTTAAATTTTTTTTAGTAATATTTATTCATAAACCCCGCAAATAATAAAATGGAACAAATTCCAATATTTAAGTCCAATTTAGAACTACCAGATCTGTAGACTTTTGTAGACTCCTGTACATTACCATTGGCATCTTTAACCACTACAGTGTCTTTGTGAAAAGGACCCAACTTATCATGTTTAGTATGTACCGTGGCTTGTTTCTAAAATAAAATATTTTCAAATAATGAATCTTAAATATTGATTGAACATTTGTATATAAACTCACATCATTGCGATAAATGCTATTGCTATTTAAAGCATCCGAGAAGTCATGATCAGAATCTTTTTCATGATCTTGACCATTGCCTGCAACAGATTTAGAACAGATCAAAACTACAGCGGTAATGAGGATAAGTATGTAGAGTTTCATGTTGTATTCGCTATTCGCTCGGTTTGACAATTACAACTGATCATAAGAATGATCAACTTCTTTATTTATGTATTTAAGAAATTTTAAATTATATATGTATACATATTGTGGTTATAAAAAGGAAATTTTTTTAGAAAATATCTTGTTTATAATATACATTTTAAAAAAAATTTTACTGAATTTTTTATATCAACCAGATGAAATCAAACTAAAAGACATTTCAGTCTTGAAACATTTTAAATTTTGACGCAGCATTCTATAAAGCTGATGTAAAACCGAACTAAAACTGAATTAAAACTAATCTTAAACTGAACTCGAACTGAACTAGAACTGAACTAGAACTGAACTACAACTGAACTACAACTGAACTACAACTGAACTAGAACTGAACTAGAACTGAACTAGAACTGAACTAGAACTGAACTAGAACTGAACTAGAACTGAACTAGAACTGAACTAGAACTGAACTAGAACTGAACTAGAACTGAACTAGAACTGAACTAGAACTGAACTAGAACTGAACTAGAACTGAACTAGAACTGAACTAGAACTGAACTAGAACTGAACTAGAACTGAACTAGAACTGAACTAGAACTGAACTAGAACTGAACTAGAACTGAACTAGAACTGAACTAGAACTGAACTAGAACTGAACTAGAACTGAACTAGAACTGAACTAGAACTGAACTAGAACTGAACTAGAACTGAACTAGAACTGAACTAGAACTGAACTAGAACTGAACTAGAACTGAACTAGAACTGAACTAGAACTGAACTAGAACTGAACTAGAACTGAACTAGAACTGAACTAGAACTGAACTAGAACTGAACTAGAACTGAACTAGAACTGAACTAGAACTGAACTAGAACTGAACTAGAACTGAACTAGAACTGAACTAGAACTGAACTAGAACTGAACTAGAACTGAACTAGAACTGAACTAGAACTGAACTAGAACTGAACTAGAACTGAACTAGAACTGAACTAGAACTGAATTAGAACTGAACTAGAACTGAACTAGAACTAAACTGGAACTAGAACTAAACTCAATTTAACATATAACCAATCTTTTATTTTTCTTAACTTACTCTCTAATACAATTTCTTTTTAACTTAAACCAATTAAAAATGTTTATATAAATAATTTTTTTTCAAAATATCCTAAAAAATCTTAAATTTTTTTTAGTAATATTTATTCATAAACCCCGCAAATAATAAAATGGAACAAATTCCAATATTTAAGTCCAATTTAGAACTACCAGATCTGTAGACTTTTGTAGACTCCTGTACATTACCATTGGCATCTTTAACCACTACAGTGTCTTTGTGAAAAGGACCCAACTTATCATGTTTAGTATGTACCGTGGCTTGTTTCTAAAATAAAATATTTTCAAATAATGAATCTTAAATATTGATTGAACATTTGTATATAAACTCACATCATTGCGATAAATGCTATTGCTATTTAAAGCATCCGAGAAGTCATGATCAGAATCTTTTTCATGATCTTGACCATTGCCTGCAACAGATTTAGAACAGATCAAAACTACAGCGGTAATGAGGATAAGTATGTAGAGTTTCATGTTGTATTCGCTATTCGCTCGGTTTGACAATTACAACTGATCATAAGAATGATCAACTTCTTTATTTATGTATTTAAGAAATTTTAAAATTATATATGTATACATATTGTGGTTATAAAAAGGAAATTTTTTTAGAAAATATCTTGTTTATAATATACATTTTAAAAATAAATTTTACTGAATTTTTATTATCAACCAGATGAAATCAAACTAAAAGACATTTCAGTCTTGAAACATTTTAAATTTTGACGCAGCATTCTATAAAGCTGATGTAAAACCGAACTAAAACTGAATTAAAACTAATCTTAAACTGAACTCGAACTGAACTAGAACTGAACTAGAACTGAACTACAACTGAACTACAACTGAACTAGAACTGAACTAGAACTGAACTAGAACTGAACTAGAACTGAACTAGAACTGAACTAGAACTGAACTAGAACTGAACTAGAACTGAACTAGAACTGAACTAGAACTGAACTAGAACTGAACTAGAACTGAACTAGAACTGAACTAGAACTGAACTAGAACTGAACTAGAACTGAACTAGAACTGAACTAGAACTGAACTAGAACTGAACTAGAACTGAACTAGAACTGAACTAGAACTGAACTAGAACTGAACTAGAACTGAACTAGAACTGAACTAGAACTAGAACTGAACTAGAACTAGAACTAGAACTAGAACTAGAACTGAACTAGAACTGAACTAGAACTGAACTAGAACTGAACTAGAACTGAACTAGAACTGAACTAGAACTGAACTAGAACTGAACTAGAACTGAACTAGAACTGAACTAGAACTGAACTAGAACTGAACTAGAACTGAACTAGAACTGAACTAGAACTGAACTAGAACTGAACTAGAACTGAACTAGAACTGAACTAGAACTGAACTAGAACTGAACTAGAACTGAACTAGAACTGAACTAGAACTGAACTAGAACTGAACTAGAACTGAACTAGAACTGAACTAGAACTGAACTAGAACTGAACTAGAACTGAACTAGAATTGAACTAGAACTGAACTAGAACTGAACTAGAACTATAATTAACTAAAACTGAAAAATTGTATTTATAGAAATGTTTGTCTTGACATTAATATTTATATAAGTTTTGTCTTAACATGTATGTCTATAGTCATTTATTAGAAATTAAATATTGCAAATACTTTTTGAATCTACTGTAATTATTGATTTAAGCGGTTAACATTAAAAATTATTTATTTCATATAAATTTTGTAAAAAGTACAAATTAAGAAATATTTAACATTAATCACAAACCACAAATGTGAACCCCTTAAGCTATAAAAGTTAATATATTATAAATAATAATTTTAGTTGAGCCGTAAACTTAAGAGAACAAACAGTAACTTTAATCTACAATTTATTTAAAATGAAATTTCAGCTAGCATTCCTATTAATATCGTTAATTTTAATTATTAACATTCATAATTTAAATGCCCAGGATTCTGAAGTTGTAAGTTTAAACAAAAAGTAAATTATTATCAAACTAATTAATAAAAACATTTGCAGCCTGATTTCGACGATGTGATAACTAATCCAAAAAGCGGTGTAAGTCCTTTAAAACTATGATTACATTGTAGTGATATTTAGTTTATGTTACTTCTTTTTTATTCCTATTCAGGACAATGTTATCAAAGGGAATAATATTCACGATCAAACTCAGGTCAATGGCAAGACTGTTACAACACCTCCCACCACAGCTGCAAGTGCTAGTGCAATGTATACAGAAGGATTCTGGTTAAATGGTTATATTTTGGTTCAATGTTTGTTTATTTTTATGAGAAAATGTAATATTTTTCAAAGTTTAAAATAATTAAATGTTTTAATAAGGTATTTTTATTAACTTTTTTTTTACTTTTTATCTTGACATATTTCTGTCGAAAATTTTTGTCTTGAAATAAACTTTTATAAACATTTTAATTTTGACAAAAATTTCTAAAGAAATCTTATTCTTAATTTAAATTTTTATTGGAAATTTTTGTCTTAACAGAAATTTTTGGCTTGACATAAATTTCTATCGAAAATTTTTGTTTGATATAGAATATATTTGGCCAAATTTTTGTCTTGACATTAATTTTTATAAAAAAAAAATTTTCTTGATATAATTTTCTATAGAAATGTTTGTCTTGACATAATTTTCTATAGAAAATGTTTGTCTTGACATAATTTTCTATAGAAAATGTTTGTCTTGACATAATTTTATATAGAAAATGTTTGTCTTGGCATCATTTTCTATAGAAAATGTTTGTCTTGACATAATTTTCTATAGAAAATTTGAGTCTTGACATAATTTTCTATAGAAAATTTGAGTCTTGACATAATTTTCTATAGAAAATTTGAGTCTTGACATAATTTTCTATAGAAAATTTGAGTCTTGACATAATTTTCTATAGAAAATTTGAGTCTTGACATAATTTTCTATAGAAAATTTTCATCTTGACATAATTTTCTATAGAAAATTTTCATCTTGACATAATTTTCTATAGAAAATTTTCATCTTGACATAATTTTCTATAGAAAATTTTCATCTTGACATAATTTTCTATAGAAAATTTTCATCTTGACATAATTTTCTATAGAAAATTTTCATCTTGACATAATTTTCTATAGAAAATTTTCATCTTGACATAATTTTCTATAGAAAATTTTCATCTTGACATAATTTTCTATAGAAAATTTTCATCTTGACATAATTTTCTATAGAAAATTTTCATCTTGACATAATTTTCTATAGAAAATTTTCATCTTGACATAATTTTCTATAGAAAATTTTCATCTTGACATAATTTTCTATAGAAAATTTTCATCTTGACATAATTTTCTATAGAAAATTTTCATCTTGACATAATTTTCTATAGAAAATTTTCATCTTGACATAATTTTCTATAGAAAATTTTCATCTTGACATCATTTTCTATAGAAAATTTTCATCTTGACATCATTTTCTATAGAAAATTTTTGTCTTGACATCATTTTCTATAGAAAATTTTTGTCTTGACATCATTTTCTATAGAAAATTTTTGTCTTGACATCATTTTCTATAGAAAATTTTTGTCTTGACATCATTTTCTATAGAAAATTTTTGTCTTGATATCATTTTCTATAGAAAATTTTCATCTTGACATAATTTTCTATAGAAAATTTTCATCTTGACATAATTTTCTATAGAAAATTTTCATCTTGACATAATTTTCTATAGAAAATTTTCATCTTGACATAATTTTCTATAGAAAATTTTCATCTTGACATAATTTTCTATAGAAAATTTTTATCTTGCCATAATTTTCTATAGAAAATTTTTATCTTGACATAATTTTCTACAGAAAATTTTTATCTTGACATAATTTTCAATAGACAATTTTTATCTTGACATAATTTTCTATAGACAATTTTTATCTTGACATAATTTTCTAAGGAAAATTGTTGTCTTGACATATTTTCTTGACGAAATTTTCTTTAAAAAACTAAAAATTTTCTAGAGAAAATTTTCATCTTGACATAATTTTCTATAGAAAATTTTCATCTTGACATAATTTTCTATAGAAAATTTTCATCTTGACATAATTTTCTATAGAAAATTTTCATCTTGACATAATTTTCTATAGAAAATTTTCATCTTGACATAATTTTCTAAGGAAAATTGTTGTCTTGACATATTTTCTTGACGAAATTTTCTTTAAAAAACTAAAAACAAAAATAAACAAAATTTTTGTCTTGACATAATTTTCTATAGAAAACTCTTGTCTACACATAATTTTCTATAGAAAATTTCTGTCTTGACATAATTTGTTTTGTTTTGACATAATATTGAAAACTTTTGACTTAATATACATATATATCTATAAAAAATGTTTCGCTTAACATAAATTTCTATAGAAAATTTATCGCTTGACATAAATTTCTATCGAAAGTTTTTCGCTTTTTTGGCTTGACATAAATTTCTACAGAAAATTTTGTTTTAACGTTAAATTTAAAAAAAATCATATATTTTTTAAATTTAAATAATTATATATAATATCTCCGAAGTCCCCATTATCGCACCCTTTTTAACCTCGTCTCTTAGTGATATAAACTTTTGTTGATTCCTGAACATCGCCATTGGCATCTTTGACAATAACTCTTGTTGTATCCTTTTCTAGATTTTTATACAACTTATGATCATGAAGTTCACGAACAACAACTTGTTCCTTAATCAAAAGAATCAAGAATAAATCTAGGAATTCATCACAAAATTGTTCAAAATCAAACTTACTTTATCACGATAAATACTATTACGATGTAGGTTATCAATTATTTCCGAGTCATCATACAAATTATGATCTCCTATTATAAACTAAAATTTAAGATAAAAATTTATAAATTGTATCAAAGTTTTAGATAAAATTTTGTAAAATATTTACATTGGAACCAGCTTGAACCGTTTTGCTGCAGATCAAAATTGTTGCTGCTATCAAGAAAAATAAACAGATTTTCATGTTGGATTTTTCTTACAACTTTTAACAGCAGTTTCTCCTTTAAAGTTATTTATTAATTTGTTTAAAATTCTCAGAAACGATTAGTTTATATATTCAACAATTGGCTTTTGTAATTGGAAAAAGTTTTATTGTAAACAATCTGTGGTTTTACTGCATTAATTATTTCAGAACGCAGTAGTTAAAAATAGAGATATTGCATTATAAGTATTAATCACTGAGAGAAATACAGATGTATATATATAAATTTTTGTCTTACCATTATATTTCTATAGTCATTTTTGTCTTGACACAAAGTTCTATAGAAAATTTTGTATTGATACAAATTTCTATATAAAATATTGTCTTGACATAAAATGATATAGAAAATTTTGTTTTGACATTAAATACATATCTAGATAAAATATTCTCTAGACATAAATTTCTTTAGAAAATTTTGTATTAACATAAATTTCTAAAGAAAATCTTCTCTTGACATAAATTTCTATAGAAAATGTCTTCTTGACATAAATTTGTATAAAAAATTTTATTGAAGGATAAACTTTTATAAATTGCTATAGAAAATTAAAAATATTTCTATAGAAAAATTTGTCTTGACATAAATTTCTATACAAAATTTTGACCTGACATTCAATTTCTATATATTTTTATATAAAAATTTTCGTTATGAAATAATTTCTATGAAAAAATTTTATCTTGATGCAAACTTTGTCTTGATATTAAATATCAATATAAAATTTTGTCTAGACATAAATTTCTTTAGAAAATCTGGTATTAACATAATTTGTTATAGAAAATTTTGTCTAACCTATAAATTTCTATACAAAGTTATGTCTTGCAATCTTGTCTTGACATAAATATTTTTAGAAAATTTTGTCTTGACATAAATTTCTAATGAAATTTTTTTCTTAATATAAATTTTCATATAAATTTCTATAAAAATTTAGTCTCGACATAAATTTCTATACAAATTTATGTCTTGCAATAAAATTTATATAAAAAATTTTGTCTTGACACCATATTCTATAGAAAATTTTGTCTTGACATAAATTTCTATTGAAATTTTTGTTTTAATATAAATTTTCATATAAATTTCTATAAAAATTTAGTCTCGATATAAATTTCTATAAAAAATTTTATCATGAGATAAATTGCTATACAAATTTATGTCTTGCAATAAAATTTATATAAAAAATTTGGCTTGACATAAATTACTATAGAAAATTTTATCTTGAGATAAATTTTTATTCAAATTAATGTCTTGCAATTAAATTTGTATAAAAAATTATGTCTTGACATAAATTTCTATAGAAAATATTATCTTGATATAAATTTTTATTGAAATTTGTGTCTTAATATAAATTTTTATATAAATTTCTATAAAAAATTTCATCTCGACATTTTCTATTTCTATAGAAAATTTTATCTCAAGATAAATTTCTATACTAAATTATGTCTTGACATAAATTTCTATAGAAAATTTTGTCTTAACAAAAATTTCTTTAGAATATTTCTTTTTGACATATATTTCTATAGAAAATTTTATCTCGAGATAAATTTCTATACAAAATTATGTTTTGCAATTAAATTTATACAAAAAAATGTTGTCTTGACATAAATATATACAAAAAAATGTTTTCTTGACATAAATTTATATAGAAAATTTTGTCTTAACATAAATTTCTTTAGAATATTTTGCCTTGACATATATTTCTATAGGAATTTTTATCTCGAGATCACTTTTTTTTATAGAAAATTTTATCTTGCCCATTATATGTCTATACAAAATATTGCCATGACATAAATTTCTATAGAAAATTTTGTGTTGACATTAAATTTGTATAGAAAATTATTTCTTGTCATTAAAAATCTATATTAAGTTTTGTCTAGATATAAATTCCTTGGAAACATTTTGTGAATTTCTTTAGAAATTTTTGTTTTGACGTGGATTTCTTTAGAAATTTTTAATTTGAAATAAATAAATGATTTAATTTTAATAATTATAAACATATTTAAGAAGAAAACCCACAGTTAGACTCTATTAATAAAGAGACTATGTGGTTAAGTTGCAAATAAGCAAAAGTTAAGTGTAATTTAATATAATTAATTATTTCAGTACACTTTTCTTTATCTTTAGAATAGGCTGTAAATTTAATTCAATTTTAATTTAAAATGAAACTAACATTTGCTGCGCTGCTAACTTTACTCATAATATTAATTAATTCACAAAATTCGAAGGCGGAAATAGATAATATAAATGACATAGATGTTTGTTAAAACTATTATTTTTCTAATTATCATTATATTAATAATATCTTTCTTTTCTAGGATTATGTAGATTATCTTATAAAACATAAAAAACCCGATGTTAGTTTTATTCATATTTATGAAATTTATTTTAAATCTAATTTTTCCTTAATTGTTCACTTTTTCAGGACAATGTTATCGTTGGGAATAATATTCATGACCGTGTTTTGATTAATGGAAAGGAAATTTCTAATGGCCAGGTAATTTTTTATTAAGTTCATTTTAAAACAATGAATTTTACTAAACAAACTTTTTTTATTTCCAGAATAATAAAGATCATTCTGCTGGAACTAAATATGATGGAAAAGAATCTCATAAAACTGAAGAATTAAGCCTATGGCAAAGATTCAAAAACTGGTTAAGCGAAATTTTTAAATTCTAATTTGAAACAATAAAAATTTTGTAGTATGTTTAATTTTGGTTTAATTTCTATAAAATTTTTTATAAAAAAATAAGTCTTAACATAAATTTCTATAGAAAATTTTTATCTTGACATAAATTTCTGTACCAAATATTATCTTGGCATAAATTTCTTTAGAACATTTTGTCCTCACATAAATTTCTGTTGAAAATATTGTCTCGGAACACATTTCTATAGAAAATTTTATCTTGATATAATTTTCTTTAGAGAATTTTGTCATAACATAAATTTCTATAGAAAATTTTTGTCTCAACATATATTTCTATAGAAAATTTTATCTTGACATAAATTTCTATAGAAAATTTTATCTTGACATAAATTTCTATAGACAATTTTGTCTTGACATAAATTTCTATAAACAATTTTGTCTTACCGTAAATTTCTTTAAAGAATTTTTTCTGAACATACATTTTTATAAAAAAGTTGTCTTATTAGAAATTTCTATAGATAATTTTGTCTTAACATAAATTTAAAAAGAAATTTTTTCTTAACATAAATTTATAAAGAAATTTTATCCTGATATAAATTTCCATAGAACATTTTGTCTCGACATTAATATCTACAGAAAATTTTGTCTTGACATAAATTTCTATAAAAAATTTTGTCTTAACATAAATTTCTATAGACAATTTTGTGTTGACATAAATTTCTATAGACAATTTTGTCTTTAGAAAAATTTCTATGCAAAATTTTTTCTTGACATAAATTTCTTTAGAGAATTTGGCATGACATACATTTTTGTAAAAAAAGGTTGTCTGGACATACATTTTTGTCTTATTAGAATTTTCTATAGAAAATTTTGTCTTGAAATAAATTAAAAAAGAAATTTTGTGTTGACATAAATTTCTATAGAACATTTTGTCTTGACATAAATTTCTATAGAAAATTTTGTCCTGAAATAACTTTGTCTTGACATTAATTTCTACAGAAAACTTTGTCTTGACCTAGAAAATTTGGCCTTGACATAAATTTTTATAGAAAATTTTGTCTTGACATAAATTTCTATAGAAAACTTTCGGCTTGACGTAAATTTTTGTGGAAAATTTTATTCTTAATATAAATTTCTGTAAAAAATTTTCGTCCTGACATAAATTTCCATAGAAAATTGTGTGTTGTTAAAAATTTCTATAGAAAATTTTGTCTAGATTAAAATTTCTATAGAAAATTTTGTCTAGATTAAAATTTTTATAGAAAATTTGTCTTATAAATAAATAAAAATATAAATAAATATATATAAAATATAAATTTTTCTTGACATAAATTACTATAAAAAATGTTACCTCACATTCAATTTCTATAAATAATGTTGGCTTGACACATGTACATATATTTATTTAAACAAATTCGGTCTGGTTAGAAATTTCCATAGAAAATTTTGTCTTGACATTAATATTCGATAAACAATTTTTGTTTTAACATATATTTTTATAGGAAATTGCACTTGACATAAATTTTTCTAAAAATTGTTATCTAAACTGTTAAATATCAATAGAAAATTTCATCTTGACATAAATTTATACAAAAAATATTTACTTGAAAATTTTTTGACATAAATTTTTACAGAAAATTTTGTCTTGACATAAATTATTATAGAAAATTTTGCCTTAACATTAATTTCTATAGAAAATTTTGTCTTAACATAAAATCCTATTGAACATTTTTATCATGACTAAAAAAAATTTGTCTTGACATAAAAAAAAATTATAAAGTTAGGAAATTTCTTTAAAAATTATGTCCTCTATAGAAAATTTATATTCTTGACATTTTTATTTTAATAATGTCTTGACATAAATTTTCTATAGATTTTATTTATTTCTAGTTAATTTGTTTATTATTGTTGATTTATTTAATGACTAAATTAAAAATATTTTAGAAAAGAAACCACATTGCAAAGTTTTCCATTTAATTTATTAATAAAATTCTTTGTTTTCAAGTTAAATTATTTATAAAAACCCTTGATGTTTTAAAGGTTATTTATTTTTTACAAAAACTTTTTAAAACTAATTCAATTTTGCAGTTCATTGTATGTTGTTTACTTCTAAGTAAATAGTAAATTTTATAAAATTAAAATGATTAAATTTAGAAAGAAATCATGTCTAATATTTGAAATGATTTTAATCATTATGTTTGTTAATATTCGGAATTCGAAGGCTCAAGTTTTAGATGTAAGTTTATTTGAAAATAATTTGTTTATTACTTCTCTAATATTTGGAACCTTTCTAGAATTCTATTAACCATCGTATAAGAAATCCAAGACCTGATGTAAGTTCAATATAATTTTAACAGATTTCTTGATAAATATGATTTTATATAATTTTTTCTCTACTTTATTTAACAAGACAATCTTATTATTGGTGATAATATAAGAGATCGTATTCAGGAAAATGGCCGATCTGCTATACATGGCGATGGCAGGGATTACGTATATTATAGGAATAATAATGAAAATCCGGTAATTTTGTTAGGAGTTTGAGTTTTAAGAGAATTTTTTTATAATTTTTCTATCATTTAGGGTTATGAAGGTCCGGTTGGAGGAAAAAACCTGATAGAGGTAAGTTATATCAAGTAATGTATGTATTATTTTAAACTAAAGTCTTAATGGGGGTTTCAGCACAATTTTGATAATGGCTATAATAATCGAAAACTTGTTCAGATCAATGGAGACACAGATATTCATTATGGCAGTGAGCCTCGGCTACCAAAAGGGCGTAATAACGATATTCCTTATGGTCGTAGGTACCATATACCCTATTGGCATGCCAGCGAAGGACCAGTAATTTAAATTAGGTTTTATAAATTTATGGTTTAATTTTTAAAACTTTTAAATTATTTCTAGGTTTTTGTAGAACCCAATATAAGATATCCTAAGGACAATGTAGGTTTTATTAGATTAAGGTAAAAATTTTGGCCATTTTAAATTTATTAAACAATTTTAGCAATTTTGGCAATAATCTGGAAAACCAAGTTCAACTTAATAGAGACCCCAATCTTCATTATGATAATCGTAATTTTGTACCCAAATGGCATAATAATGAAAACCTACAACGAAAATGAGGTAACATTTTTCAAAAACAGATTTTTTGATTTTTTATTATCCAACCCTATTTCAGCATCATAGTTTTAATGGGAATAATAGAAAACGATTACTAGTTAATAATATAAATCATAAGCAAAATGATTATATGGACCACATACCAAATTGGGCTGTCAAGGAAAACTATCCAGTAATATTAATTTAATTTTTAATAATTTTATATATTTTCTAGGTTTATGATAACGATCAATCGGTTACAAATCCAAAAGTATGTTTGTCTTGCCAAAAGTTTCTATAAAAATATTTTGTCTTGATATAAATTTGTATAAAAATATTTTGTCTTGACATTAAATTTCTATTTATAAAATTGTTTGTCTTGATATAAATTTCTAATGAAAAAATTGTCTTGACATAAATATTTATAAAATAATTTTGTCTGGATATAAATTTGTCTTGACATAAATTGCTATGCAAAATTTTGTCTTGACATAAATTTCTATCAAAAAAATTTTTTTGTCATAAATTACTAAAGAAAATTTTGTCTTGACATATTTTTCTAAAGAAAACCTTGTCTTGAAATGTTTTTATGGTAAATTTTGTCATGACATAAATTTTTATAGAAAATTTAAAAGTTTTGTTTTGATATAAATTTCTATAGAAAATTTTGGTATTGACATTAAATTTCTATAGAAAGTTTTGTCTTGACATAAATTTCTTTCGAAAATTTTGTTTTGACACAAAATATTTAAGGAAAATTTTGTCTTGACATAAATTTCTACAGAAAAATTTTGTCTTGACATAAATTTCTATAGAAAATGTTATCTTGACATAAATTTTTATAGAAAATTTGTTCTTGATATAAATTTCTATAACAAATTTTGTCTTGACATTAAATTGCTATCAAAAATTTTGTGTTGACTTTAAATTTCTATCAAAAATTTTGTCTTGAAATAAATTTCTATAGAAAATTTTGTCTTGGCATAAATTTTACAGAAAATTTTGGCTTCACATACATTTCTATAGAAAATTTTGTCTTGTCATAAATCCTATAGAAAATTTTGTTTTGACAGAAATTTCTATAGAGAATTTCGTCTTGATATAAATTTCTATCGAAAATTTTATCTTGAAATAAATTTCTATAAAAAAATTTATCTTGACATAAATTACTAAAGAAAATTTTGTCTTGACATATTTTTCTATAGAAAACTTTGTCTTGACATAGGTCTTTAAGGAAAATTTCGTCGTGACATAAATTTTTATAGAAAATTTTGTCTTGATATAAATTTCTATAGAAAATTTTCTCTTGACATAAATTTCTATAGAAAACATAAATTTCTATAGAAAAATTTGTCTTAACATAAATTTCTATAGAAAATTTTAACTTGGCGTAAATATCTATTGAAAATTTTATCTTAACATAGAAAATTTTGTCTTGACATTAAATTTCTATCGAAAATTTTGTGTTGACATTATTTTCTATAGAAAATTTTGTGTTGACATTAAATTTCTATAGAAAATTTTTTCTTGACATAAATTTTTATAGAAAAGTTGTCTTGACATAAATATCTATAGAAAATTTTGTCTTGACATACATTTTGATATAAAAAATTTGTCTTGACATACATTTTCATATAAAAAATTTGTCTTGACATGAATTTTCATAGTAAAATTTTTCATAAAATATTTTCATAAATTTTTATATAGAAAATTTTGTCTTGACATTAATTTCTGACTTAAGTATCTATAGAAAATGTTAAATTTCTATAGACAATTTTGTCTTGACATAAATTTCTATAGAAAATTTTGTCCTGACAAAAATTTCCATAAAAAATTATAGAAAATTTTGTCTTTACATTAAAATTCTATAGAAAAGTTTGTTTTCAAATTAAATTTCCATAGAAAATTTTGTCTTGACATTAAATTTCTATCGATCGAACGAATCCAACTTAAATATCGATATTTACTGGTGGATCTGGTTATCGGTTTTTCTTCGGGGTTTTATTAAGTAGCATTTACTGTTTTTTAATGTTTGATTTAAACTTACGTTAAGTTCGTAAGTATTTTCGTATTTTCTCAGATATTGGTGTCTGATACATTTTATGCTACACGTTTTCATCTGACCAATATTGATTTTCAATTTTCATATTATCGGATATGTCATAGTATATCGTGCGCAAACTCAAGATATTCTAATTATTATTGGATTAACCATATAATACCTTGATTTCCCACAATTAAGATTAAAGATCAATGGCGTTATAATGAATCCTTGTAGAAAACGAGCACTCGTAAAAGATTTGGTAATTGGTTCCTTTATATGGACCTGGTAATGGATATTTAAGGATCTAGTGCCAAATTTAGTGTTAGTATGAGTGATTAGAGATTTTTTTAAGGAACTATTATCCAAACTTAGCTTTTCTTTTAGCAAACCTCCTACAAATGACTCATGCCCGTCTGTCTTGTAAATCTTGTGGTGAAATACATGGCCCGGATATGGGTTTTTACCCATTTACTTTCTTACTTTCAGGTCTTTAACTAAAATGACTTTTTATTCTATAAATGATATAAAATGTTCTTAGGAAATACCGCATTTCATTATTTTTGCTTGATCGAGTGATCAAGCAATAAAAAGCTTTTTAAAACGATTAACTATTACAGTACAATTCCAATTTCCTTTGGGATAAGAAGTCAAATTTGTATAAAAAAAGTTGTAGATAAAGTTATAATGAAATTGTCAATTGGTTTTATAGCAATTTTATTAATAATGTCTGTTCAGTTTAAAAAACGCAGGCTCAAGTTGATTATTTTTATAAAGTTAGTTTTGTTTCTTAAATTATAGTAAAAATGGATTTAAACAAATTTAATCTTTTACAGAATAATAAAGGTGAAGGAAATGGAAAAACCTTTGGACAAGTAAGTTTGATTTCTTTTAAGAGATAATTTTAAAAAAATGTTCTTTAAAACTTAACGATCATTCTCAGAATAACATTATTTCGGGTAATAATATCAGAAATCGTGTGCAGATTAATGGCGAAACTATTGAGGAGGGTCAAATTGGCGATGATGTAGCGAAGCTTAATAATGTAAGTTATTTCTAAGAGGTTTTTTTTTGGACTTAATTTTTAAATTTTTGATTATTAGCACAATATGAATCATGATCACCGTGTTAAGGAAAAAGGAAACCGAGATCGTGTAAATAGTCATAATGATGTAGGCTATGATCATTATAAAGTTATATTCTAAAAAATTTTAACCACTTTTCTCTTGACAATAATTTCAGCACAGCAAAACTATTGAGGAGGGTACAATTGGCGATAAGCAGTCTAGTAAACAACCAAAAGAAACCATTGTTACGACCACTGAAGAGCCGAGTTTGTGGCAAAAAACTAAAAATTGGTTTGGTTAAACTTCAATACATCGGGGTCTATAACACAATATTGAAGATTAACCTTATTGATAAAAAAAATTCAATAAAAATAAAGCATATTTTTAAAAAGTTATTTCATATAAATTAAAGCTTAATTTCCCAAATGATTTAGAAACCCTAGAGCAATTTACTATAAGGAATCAGGATTTAGAATTATACACATCTGTTCTTAATTTCACAAATAAAATTCAACGATTCTCTAAAAATATTTATGTTAGATGGGTTGAGAATGTCTTCTATCTGAATTATAACGAGAGTTAAGGGTGTTCTGGGAGGGTCCTAGAATGCCGCACTCGAATCGAAGTCTATTCATTATAGTGAGAGGCACAATAGATGTGGTATTTCTAACTAGTGATAAAACGGCAAGAAACCATAAGATCTTAATCAAAAATTTAACGACCTAATTCATAAACCATTCGATAGACAGATAATGCGGAAAGAAATTTTATATAAAGAAGCCAATATCGTGCATTGCCTTTATTTTTGGAAGATTCTCTCTAGGGAGAGACTTTTAAATGCGACCATCCAAACGAAAACTACCCATTCATAGAAAAGAATGCAGGTCGTGGTGTTATTCTTGCTGAAACGATCAGATATTCGACACGATCTGTGAAGGTCTAGTAAAATTATAGTAAAGAGATCAATTTGCCATTATTGTAAGATGATCTACGAAACATTTGGAGACTCTACTAAACGATCGTCAAATCGAAAAGTTGACGACTTAATTTATGAGACACTCGATAGGAAATAATTCCTGATAAAGAATAAGACTTCAGAATGTTGCCATCCAAACGATAACTACCCAATTATATAAAAGAATGCGGACCTTGATGTTTACCTTGCCGGAACGCTCAGATATTCGAAACGATCTGTGAAAACCTAGGGACATAACAGTAAAGAGAGCAATATAATCTCCCGCTAGTAATCCTAAGGCCTTAAAGAAGATCTACGAAAGGTTTGGAGATTCTTAAAGACTTCATTTATAAGACATTCGATAGAAAAGAATGCGTGATAAAGGAAAATACTTCGGTACGAGACTACCCAAGACCCTAAAGTACTACTCAACACTTAAGAAACTGGCTCTCAATGGAGCGTAGAGAGTCAACGTCGTTCATTGCATGATAGAGAAACTTTTATTCTTGAAAAGTCCTCTTGAGGGAAGCAGCTGGCGAATACTGCTAATGCTAAACGAAAACTACTCGGGGTTAAAGAGCGCATTCAAAAGCCATTCTATAGAGAAGAATACTGAATGTGATGTTCCTCCTGCTCAACTCTTCGAAACGATCTCTGAAGGCCTCAGTAAAAAAGTCAAAGGTTTAGAAACTCTGCTAATCGATTGTCGAATAGAATTCGTTCAATAGAAAAGGATGCACATTCCAAAGCGTTCACTTTCTGTAAAGTCTAATATTCATCATGTTAAAGGGTATAATATAATCTCCAGCTAGTTCTCTTAAAGCCGCAAACTTACAGGGTGAAAGGTTTGAAGACTCTACTAATCGATCTTCGAACAGAATTCGTTTAATAGAAAACGATACGTCTTCCAAAGCGCTCAAGTAATAGGAAAGTATAATCGTCAGCTTGTTCTCTAAACATACAATTTACTGAAACGTGATCTACAAAAGATTAAGACACTCTACCGATCGAACTTCGAATATATATAAGGATCCGTTTCAAGTCATCGGAAAGGACTGTGAAGGCCAAAAATCAATGTGGCGAAGAGTACGGTACAATCTACAGTTAGTTCTCTTAAGGTCCTTACACAATAATTTGTATTTATTGCAATATGATCATCGAAAATATCTTTTAAAGGCTAATAATCATCATGGTAAAGAGGGCTATAGAATCTTTAGCATGTTCTTTTATGACCCTAAACCTACAATTTGTCTTTATTGCAACGTAGTCTACAAAATATTTGGAGACTCTATTAATCGATCGTCGAGTGGCATAGAAAAGGATACTACTTCCAAAGCGTCCAAGTCATCGGAATGATCTCTGAAGGGCAATAATCATTATGTTAAAGATGACAATGGAATCTTTAGCTAGTTCTCTTAAGGCCCTAACGCAACAATTTGTCGTTATTGCAACATGATATATGATAGGTTTGGATAGAAAAGAATGCGCCTTCCAAAGCACTCAAGTCAGCGGAACGATCTGTGAAGACCAATAATCTCTATGGTAAAGGGAATAATCGAATATCCAGATTGTTATCCTAAGGCCCTAAATCTACAATTTGTCTTTATTGCAACGTGATTTATAAAATGTTTGGGAACTCTATTAATCGAACGTCAAGTGGCATAGAAAAGAATACGATTTCCAAAGCGCTCAAGTCATTGGAATGATCTTTGGAGAGCAATAATCATTGTGGTTAAGAGGACAGTAGTTCAGCTAGTTCTCTTAAGGCCCTAACGTAACAATTTGTCGTTATTACAATAGGATCTTTTACAATAAGTTTTTTTGACCAAAAACTGATTAATCTGTTGGGCGCTTAAAAAAGATTCGAAAATGATGCGCACTGATGTTTAAGAAATTATTTCTTTTAATAACAATCACATTTTTTTTTTGGAAATACGACGCTAACACGTATCAAAACTGATCAGAAGAGCTGCTCATAATAGACTCGTTTAGAAGAGTCGCGGGTAGGGTGTTGTATTTTAACCACAAAAGTATCGTTTATGACTCAAATATGAAGAAATAGATGACTGAAGGATGATGAATCAAAAATTTTAAAATAAAAATACTGACTGGTCTCTATTACAAAGCATCTATGCTAGTGCATCAAATTAAGATCAAAAGAGGTGATCATAATTGACTATTTTAGAAGAGTGGCTGGTAGGGTAACATTTTCTCTCTACCCAAGGATTAATATGATTCTGGAATGGACTGAAAAAGGTCTACCGACGTCACTAAAAGAAGAGGAATTCTAAAGAAATTAGACTAAATTCTTTTCAAATTAAGATCAGAAGATTTGATCACAATAGACCCTATTGGAAGAGCCGCTGATATGGCACTCTTCTCTTCACAAAAGTATTGTTTATGATTCAAATAAAAGTCTGGAATGTGATCAAAAATTTAAATAGATGTTGACTGGGATGGATCACAAAGCATCCATGAGCAAAGTATGCCACTAAAAGGAGAGAAATTCTAATTGAAATTTTACTAAATTCTTTTCAAATTTAGACCAAAAGAAATGATCATAATAGAGCCTATTAGATGAGTAGCGGATAGGATACTCTTCCCTTCACAAAAGTATTGTGTATAATTCCAATAAGAGCGCATATATGACTATTTTAATCATATTAAAGGATCATTAATGTCTCGAATGTGATCAACTAAAAGTAGCGGAACACTTTTCAACTGCAGAGCTGTAGTTTTATTACAAAATTAACATTGATTTTAATTACAATAGTTCAATTATATATTTTAACCAAATAGTTTCTTAAATTTCTCCCACAAACTATACTCTTTACCCGACATCTCAACCTCAACATTACCGTTTGTAGTATTTACCAGCTTAGCATCCTTCAATTGTGTTGTAGTATTTTCCAAATTATTGCCAATTTTTTCATTGTCAGCATTCTTAGTTGTTACAGATTTATTATCATTTATATGAGTACCTTTTTCTAAAACAGTTTTATCCTTAATGAACAAAACAAACAAACAAAAAAAAACAAATTCAAATTTATTATACTTTTTAAAAACACCCAAACAAAAACAACTCACCCCCTTATCATTATGTTTTTGATCTCGTGGCACCACCAACACTTCTTGACCCTGTTTATCATGCTTAAATGTATAGTCCTTTAGGTCAAAATATATATTTTTTGTTATTTATTTAAGATAACAATTTTTCATTTGCAACTTACATTTTTTGGATCTAAGGTTTCTGCTTGGTTTAGTTGTAAGTTTGAAACCATAAATATGGTCATTAAAAGGAAAATAATAGAAAATTTCATTTTAATTATTTTCAAAAGTGTTTTATTAGTTTCTAGTATTTGTTATCCTGTAGTGTTTGGTGTATAAGTAGACTGTTTTGGAGAAAACACTTTGCTAGTTGCTTTTATAGGCAAAAATATTGAGTGTATGGTTGAGAAATTGTTTTATAAATATAATTGTATAATTATTTTATAGTTTATTTATGATGATGACTAAAATGTGGTCCGTTTGTTGTTAGCAGAATGTGTATAGAAGCTCACAGAGTTTTGAAAGAATGCCAATGATAAGTTTTTAAATATTCCTTGTTTTATATATCAACGGAAAGGAATAGAGGAAATCGAAATCAATCAGTTCCCTATTAAGTTTTGAAAACTTAAAAAAATGGCGGGTTTTAGTTTTTTTTTTTCAAGATAAGTGGCAAAAATTGTTATAACTTTGGAGTCGGTAATGATTTTTAAACAATTATTCATCTGTTTGATATATACATTTGTTGTTAGTCGAGTAGTGGAGAAAATGGAGGCAATCGGTAAATATTTAGACCCTCTGGTATCAAAAAACTGTAGTAGGTTAAGTAAATTTTCAAATGCTAGTACAAAGGTATCTTAATTTGGGTAAGCGGGTCATGTACCTGGATTTCCCCTGGGGCTCAAATTCAAAACTTCAACTAGACAACACTTGCTCTTGCCGTTTGTCAAATTTCATTCAAATCGGACTAAGCGTTACAGTTAGTAACTGATTACGTATGTAAATTGGATTTCTGGAGTTCTTAAGAAACTCAATAGATGTCTGACCACTAAACTTTATTGACATCGTTTACTCAGTTCTATAAATGGGCATCACCAAGTGAAGCTGCTCCTGTCCAATCTGAATAATATGGAGCGAAAGAATCCGACAGCCTGCATTTTACAGTTACTAACAGATTATGGATGTAAATTGGATTTCTGGAGTTCTTAAGAAACTCAACAGAAGTCTGTCCACTAAACTTTATTGACATCGTTTACTCAGTTCTATAAATGGGCGTCACCAATTGAAGCTGTCCCTGCCCAAACTGAATAATATAGAGAGAATCAGACTGTCGTAAACGACATTAAGAGAGAATACAATTATTCTGAGAAGGTTCTCGATAAGAGAACAATTTCGAACTAATCGAAAAGTCCTAGAAGTGGTAAAGAGAACAATCTATGAATACTAACTCCTAAACGAAAACTGCTAAATGTAGTAAAGAGTTGACGAACTCATGTCCAATATTAATGGAGAATATTAAGGGTCCTATTGTTTCAGCAGCCAAATCTTTGGATAGAGATATCAAGATACTGTTCCGTGCAGTTGTTGGCACTGTACGCTCCAGCATGTTGTCTTAAGGACCTCTAAAAGAAGACATTTAAAGAACTTTTTGGATGTTGTTGGCATTCTATACAAATAGAAAGTGTTTAGTACCAGGACATTACAACAATTACGGGTCTTGATTTTACTTAACTGGTTACTAAATTTTCAATACTCTTCGATACCTAAAGCTCCCAAAACTTTAATGTCATTGGACCATAAAACGCAAGAAAATATAATCTTGATCTTAAACTATGAAAGAAAAGTCCCGAAACTTTAATGACATTGGACCCTAGAGTTCCACATGAAAATATAATCTTGATTTAACTATGAAAGGAAATATGAGAAACTAATAAAAATGAGAAACTAATTCGGACTTGCAAGACATGCTTCAGAACTTTAACCGACTAAAAGTAACAAGGATCTTGCGAAGGTTCTCATTTGGCAATCAGATCAAAAATCAAAAAAAAAAGTAAAAAGCTATATCGTTGGATAGTGAATGATGTTGTTTATGGTTGTACCTCACCTACCGAAATACTCAAATCTACGGAACGAGCTCAGGTTCAGAACCTAAGCGATTACATAACTTTCGAGCTATTGCAGAAACTTCACATTCGTTTACAACTACGCACACGGATTCGGCAGGAGCCTCCACAATTAAGCACTATTCCAAGGCCACCAATCGAAATATGATAATTTCTAATCGACTTACTTGGTAAACATTCCACGACCCATTGACAGCTGATGCTTTCACATGAAGTCTTTCGTTAAAGTTGCCAAAGTGAGAGTGACACTCAATAACTACTACAAACACGATCTGACAGATCTGTCAGCAAGTGATGCAGAAATCGTTTATAGTACGATCTGATGATCTGTAGAAATTGATCAATGAGCACGATCAGACAGATCGTAAATTGACTGAATAGTTTGACTAGCATCTGGGCGTTGGATGTCAGAATATCATTTATAGATGTTAACAAATGAGATAGAATAGAATAATTGTCAAAATGAGGAAGAATGGAAGAAACGGAAATTCAGATCCTCTGCCTTGCAAGAACAAATTGACATCTATCATAGACGTCGTTCGTGTAACTATAGAATTTTACAAGGACTATCGATTGTAGATGTTAACAAATTGAGTAGGAAGGGAGCAGGAGAGAAATCTGTTATAGGTTCAGGTCAAAGTTCAAAGTAAGTTTTCTCATCAGACTGAATGTTTTAAATTGGAACTGTGGACTATGGAAGTCAGAATATGGGTTCTAAAAGTTGTTCAAATGGAGAACAGGGAAAAGAGAGGTTAATTCGTCACCCTGGACATTACGGGTCAAAGATTGGTGGTATAGGGTTAACACATCGAACGAATTTAACACCATTATGTATAAGGGCGGTTCCAAAATTAACTGCTTAGTGTTGGATCTGGAGTTTTCTGAGAAAAAATACTTGGATTCAATTTGGAATTTTAGCTTTAAAGCAAAAATTTGTTGATAACAAAAACGTAATGAACTTTACACATTTCCCTCTCCCAAATCCAAAACCTTACCTAGCACTGCAACAAAACTAAAACGACACAGCAATAAATAACGCACGTGCCTCACATAACCCAGCTTACCCGTAAAAAAGGTGTTAATTTGCTAACATATGATGTTTAATGACATTTTGCTCTAAAAGATGCACAAAAATTGTCTCAAATCACACAAAATTAAATGTCTATAAACTTTGATGGTATTTATTAGCTAAAGAAAAGAGCAGAGAGCGACAGAGATTTATCGATTTCTCAAGTACACAAAAACAACATAAACATATTTGTAATGATTACAACTAACAAAGGTAGGGCACAAGATTTTAAATGACCTTAAAGCTATATATATATACTAAATATATAGCAAAGAAAAGGGAGTTAATTTATTATTTATTAGCAATTAAGTGAAAAAAAAAATGAATAAAATATATTATAATTAAAAACTTGGACTTACCTGAAGCAAAGACAACATTAAAGGGAATCTTTTTAGCCATAATGAAGCATAGAATGCCAAGTGCTGACTGCTGTGCTGAGGAAAGTAAAGGAATTTGATTTTTTTCTTGCTTTTATTTTAACACTTTTTTTAAGGGCAACACTTTTTTAGCTTGAATATATAATTTTGATTTTTATATTTTTCTTTTTATATTTATTTTTTACAAACTATATTTTATATTTTATTTAAAAATGATTTTTCACTTTTTTTATCATATTTCATATTTTTTTTATATTTTTTGTATAATTTTTTAAAATTTTTTCTTTTTTAAGTACAATTTCTTCTCGCCTGACCAGGATAATAACTACTAAAGACAACCCCAATTTGCTATAGATTTACGAAAATGACAGTTTTGTAGAAAAAATGACAAATCTAAGTTTGACATATGAAACTAAAACATGCGCAGTAGTTAAAATTTTAAATTTATATAAAAACAGTTAAAATAATTAACAAAATTGTTGAATTCTTAACAAAACTATAAAATTTTTCTTTTTTAATTATATTTTAATGAAATTATATAAGAAAAAACCTAAATTTCTTGCTTTTAGCAAATTTAAATAAAGTAAGCCGTTATATTGCCTAAAATAACATCTGGTAACTTTATTAAAACAACCCTGTTATTGCTAAACATTTAAAACTGGCAACTCCTTAACATATTGCCATTAAAGGGTAATGCTGTTAAACAGCTGTTTAAGGTAAAACAGTTTTACGGCACGTCACTTTCTTTATCAATTTTTGTTGTTTTTTCTTGCATATCTAAAAAAATTTTGTATTTTTTCTAAATTATTAGAAAAGTCTAAGTAAAATTTTTACAAAAAATGGATCACAAATATAGTATATTATTACCCACTTACAATGAAAAGGAAAATTTACCCATTATTATATGGTTAATAATGAAATATCTAAATGAAAGGTGAGGAAGTAGAAAAACTATTTCTCTTTGGAGAAGTAAACTAATTGTGTGTTATTTTTGTTTTGTGTCACAAAAGTGGCTATAAGTTTGAAGTTATTATCATAGATGATGGCAGTCCAGATGGTACTTTAGAAGTGGCTCAAGATTTACAAAAAATCTATGGTGAAGATAAGATACTGTTGAGGCCACGTAAAGCTAAATTGGGTTTGGGTACTGCATACATACATGGCATACAACATGCCACGGGAGATTTTATCATTATAATGGATGCCGATTTGAGTCATCACGTAAGGAATGCTTTTCTTAAAGGCAAAGTTAAAATTATAACAAGATTTTTCTTGAAAATTATAAACATTGTTATAACAATTTTTCTTTTCTAGCCCAAATTTATTCCAGAATTCATTGAACTGCAAAAGAAACACGATTATGACATTGTCTCCGGCACTCGCTATCAGGGTTCCGGTGGTGTTTTTGGTTGGGATTTTAAGCGCAAGCTAATTTCCCGTGGCGCTAACTTTTTGTCACAACTTCTCTTGCGTCCCCGAGCCTCTGATCTAACCGGCTCTTTTAGGCTGTACAAGAAACCTGTATTGGAAAAGTGCATTTCCAGCTGTGTCTCTAAGGGTTATGTTTTCCAAATGGAAATGTTAGTGCGCGCTCGTCAACACGGTTTTTCGGTGTGTGAGGTACCCATTACCTTTGTGGATCGTGTTTACGGCACTTCCAAGCTGGGCGGTACGGAAATTGTGCAATTTGCCAAAAATTTATTATATTTATTTGCTACCACTTAATTTGTAAATATTTTATTATTTTATATTTTTTAACTTTTTGTTTATGAAATTCCACTATAATTATTAAACATAAACTAAAATATTAAGAAAAAACGATAAAAGTTTACTTGTTTTTATAGCCGCCTTTTTAACCGTATTACTTTATTGTAGTTTTGTGTTATCAATTAAATTTTGTTTTAAAATTTATTTATTTTTCACTTTTTAACATTTATATCACGAAATATCACTAGATTTATTAAAAAATTGAAATATTAAGAAAGACAACGAAAAAGCTTTATGTATTTATTACCGCGCTTTTCATTTAACTAAATTGACAACATAAATACTGCTGCTACTGATAATACAGTCCCTTGCAGTAATGCCAAGTTTATTGTCGATAACTTGTAACTGCTAATACAGTTTTCTCGATAATACAGTTTTCTCTTACAGTAATGCTAGTTAAAGTCGGCAACTAAGTTATTTGCTTGTGAAAAACGTTATTTCAAACCGTTTCTATAGTAAAAGCAAAACGTTTTGGTTTCTGTTTATAAAAAAAGAAATTTTGTTTTCATATATTAAAGGAAATATAAAAGTTTAATGTATTTTAACAAAAAGTTCTATTATTATAGAAATAATACTAGTTTTATTCTTTTATGTCAAAACTACTGCACCGATTTACATGAAATTTATCATGCCTTTAGATTTAACTACGCAAAGAAATATGGGATATACAAATTCCATTCAAATTGATTTCAATGTGAATATATTTAATTCGGATATAACTTCTTAAATAAGCGTACAATGGAAAATATTAGAAGTAAATATTATTTATAAAATAACTTTTGCAACAAAAGTCGAATTTTATATGAAAAGTATTTGCATTTGTGTAATTTATTGTTAATTTTTATTTTTTAATAATTTTTTACTTGTATTGTAAAAATTAATTTTGATTAAACCGATAGTTTTATTTTATACCTTCTTTTCCTAAACAATTGGCCACACTGAGCCAATGACTCAACAATGCTGCCAAGTTTTGTAAATAAATTACAACAACAATAAAAGCAATTACTAAATTGACAATACGTCAAAAAAAAATTGCAAAGAACATATAAAACACACAAATTTCCATTAAAATTTATAGAAAACCATAATAAATTCCGAAATTTAGACAAAAATCCACGAAAAACTTATTAAACAATTAACTAATAAATTAAAAAAGATCATTAGAAAATAAACGCAAAATTTTAACAAAAGAAAAATAAACGAAAAAGCAAACAAGAAGCAGCTTGCTGACTTTTGTAAATAAAAATTCCAAAAAAAACTAGAACTAGAAAAATGTCGGTGACTGATTTCATTAAGGGTTTACCCTGTCACAATGCTGACAACTTCTCACAATTCAATACGGAACAAGCCATGAGGACATCACAAAAACGACCCTCCGTCTATCTACCCACTGAAGACTATCCCTCGGAACAGCATATAGTATTGGATAAACGTTCGGTGCTGCTGCGCTATTTGACACAACAATGGGATAAAAAGATTCTGCCCAAAAAACGTGATCACGGAAATGAGGGTAATAGTGCGGCCAATGGTGCGGGCAACAGCTGTAAAAAGCGTCCACGTTTGGAGGCCGAATAGGTGGTGCAGTTAACAAATTATTAGTGTTTTTTTCTTATTATTATTTTTCTTTTCAAAGAGCTTAAAGTCTAACCTCTATGTCAATAGCTCCGGTTCCTCCTCCGACCACTTCCCTCTAACTAATAAACGACTCAACTCAATTTTGTAGCCTACATCTACCATGTTGTGTTGAATTTTTCTATGTGTTTTTCTTTTTGAACATAAAACTGAATTATTATTAATTTACAACGTACAACAGGATTTAAATAAGTTTTCGAATTACTTTAATATTTATAATTTTTTTAATAAATTTAAAAAAATAAAAAAATGTGTTTTTAATTTTTTGGCAGTAAACCTTTTTTTAATTATAACTTTATTTTTCAATTTTAACTAAAAATCGTTTGGTTTGTTTTATCCTTATATCACTTCAGTGGTGCAAATCCTTGGGATCTGGTTTACCATACTGCTTCTCCCACCAGGCAGCAAATTCCTTCTTACGTTGTTCACGTTTAGCAAAGAACTCGGGGTATTGGGCCTTTTCCAAAGGATGCCAATAGTCCAACATCCAGTCGGGTACTTCGACCTCACGTTCAAAAGCACAGCCGCCAGGACTGTTAGCCTCTGTAGTTAAAAAAAACTTCAAATTTAATTTCTTTAAACAAATTCCACCAACAACTTACGTTTAATGGGCTGATAATGTTGGGTATTGAACAATTCTTGCTCACCCACTGCCAACAATTGGGCAGCCTTGGCCATATCGGTCACCTTGCGATTCTCCTCGAAACGCTGACGCAGCTGACAAGCTCTATAGCGGTAAATTTCTCTACAAATATAAAAAAATTAATAATAATTTTCCAAAATTACATAACCTAATAGACCAAAATCCTTTTCATTTTTCCACATACCTGCGATCATACCAGGCTTCCAAATTACGCAAAGCTCTCTTGTATAAGCTTTGCACCTGTCTGGTGTGTGAAACAATGCCAGTAGGTATATTCATATTAAATATTTTGTTAAATTATTGTGTAAAATTTTGCCAAAAATCGAAATGTTTTTCTTTTGCTCTAAATCAGACAGCAAAATTTTGACATTTATTCCCAGCTGCTTCTTCTTTCAAGTTAACATTCACCAAAAAAAATAAACAGTGTGGCAAATTATTAAATGACACAAAAACGCTAAAATGCTCACAGTTGTTCGTTTTTTTTTTAGTAAATGATTAAAAAGTGAATTAATTTGTTTTTTCTCTTAATTTATTAAATATTAACAGAAATAATTGCTTAGAATGAGTCTTATATTGTTTTATTTTTAGCAAAAATATCCAAAAAATTCAGCGGTTTTTAAAAAAGAGTTGTTATCATTGAGACAAACAGCTGACAAACTTACCTCAGTGGGTTGTAAAAAAGTGTAGTAAATTTGTAAAAATAACCCAACACTGCTGGTGTTGAATTTTAATGTTTATAAAAACAGAAATGTTTAATACATAAAATCTATTTATACAGTACCTGTTAGAACGGTTAACTTTAATTTTAAACTTTTGAGTAATATTTTCAATAATTTGGGGAAAAAGAAGATTTATTTTAAAAAATTAAAAACAGAATAGAATTTTGTATTTATGTCAATCCAAATTATATATTAACACGACTTGTGTTAAGTTTTTATCAGAAAAGCGTTAAAAAAGTTGAAGATTTTTTAAATTCAGATTTTTCTTGACTTCAGCAATAGTTAATTAGTTAGTTAGTAAGTTAATTAGTTAGTCAGTTAGTTAGTTAGTTGGTTAGTTAGTTAGTTAGTTAGTTAGTTAGTTAGTTAGTTAGTAGTTAGTTAGTTAGTTAGTTAGTTAGTTAGTTAGTTAGTTAGTTAGTTAGTTAGTTAGTTAGTTAGTTAGTAGTTAGTTAGTTAGTTAGTTAGTTAGTTAGTTAGTTAGTTAGTTAGTTAGTTAGTTAGTTAGTTAGTTAGTTAGTTAGTTAGTTAGTTAGTTAGTTAGTTAGTTAGTTAGTTAGTTAGTTAGTTAGTTAGTTAGTTAGTTAGTTAGTTAGTTAGTTAGTTAGTTAGTTAGTTAGTTAGTTAGTTAGTTAGTTAGTTAGTTAGTTAGTTAGTTAGTTAGTTAGTTAGTTAGTTAGTTAGTTAGTTAGTTAGTTAGTTAGTTAGTTAGTTAGTTAGTTAGTTAGTTAGTTAGTTAGTTAGTTAGTTAGTTTTGCAAGTCTACCATTTGGTCGTCTCATAACATTAAGATAGGGGAACCTGTACACAAATTTAATTTGGTTCTGCAACATTTAACAAACTTTTAATTTTGTCCAAAAAAGAGTATTAAATTCCCAGGAAATATATATTTCCAAGAGTAAAATCAAACAATTTCCCCAATTACTTAAATAAAACGCTACACACCACGATAGCAAAGCAACATGATGGTTTCAAAAAAAGCAACACTGTGTTGACGGCAACATGTTTAGCTTCATATACACCATGATATGGTGTATAAATAATTATGTTTATACAGTACCGTGGTAAATAGCTGTGTTGTATGGTAAAAGAGAAAAAAAGAAGTAGAAAAAAAAAACGAGGAAGAGGTGGTGGATTTAAAAGAAATTCTTATTTTGTGTGTGCAGAAAAATTCCAATTATTCTCCTCTTCTCGTGTGTTGTATATACGCGCAAAAATAAATTTTGGATTTTAAGCTGCGCAAATCATGAAAAAAAGAAAAGATTTTTTATAATTAAATACACCTCAATTAAATAAATAATTTGCCTAAGAAATAGCTAAACAGCGGGTAAGTGAAGTATTAAATTGTACAAAAAAATTTAAGAAATTTGTGAAAAGTGTACAAGAGAAAAATTTCACCGCCCTTTTGGCAAACACATTTTTTCGTTTAGTTTTTTTTTTTTTTTTGTTAAAAGGCGGCCATTTTTTTTTTCTTATTTTTTCTAAATACTTGTTTACACAACGAAAACCGTATATTGCTCCAAAAAGGCGTAGTAAAAAAACAGCGACAAGTTAATATAAAATACAACAAAAATATGTAGAAAAGCAAAAAAAAATAGCATTTCTTTGTTCCGTTTTTTTGTTTGCTTTATTTTTGCTAAAAAAAACTCTTGTCTGTATAATGCTAAAATGCCACTCCTGTTATTTTTGCGTACCATAGTTTTTTTGTTGTTTTTTTTTCTATATTTCTTTTTGTCTGTAGGTTTTTTCTTTCATGATGTACTCTCTTTGCTTTTGTTTGTGCGCGATTTTTTAATGTCTTTTTTTCGGTTTTGCCTTTAGACGTCTTTCGTTAGCAGTTCATTCACATTTTGCTTAAATTCTTTGCTTGTGTTTTTTCTCTGGTCTTTTTTTTATATCGTTGTTGTTTTGTTTTTGTGTCGTGTGTGTATGTTGCAGGTGAAGTTGTAGCAGACGACGACGGCGTCAACATCAAAAGTCTCCCCTTCAAGTTTGTTGTTGGAGAAAGTGAGATAAACTGTTATTAACATAAAGTTAAAAAAAAAAAAAACAAAATAAAAGTAAGAGAGAAGGAGACAAAACATTTCGCTAGCAGAAAAACAACAACAATTTATAGTGCGTCAAGGCAAAACGTATTTGCAAAAAGAAAAACAACAAAAACTACTACTACTACTATCATGTCTTCCTCGCCGGCAAACTCACCAGCAATCCACGATGATTGTAGCCGGTAAGTTTTTGTTGTACAAAAAAGAAAATGATTAGAAATTATTGTGTGGTCTTTGGTGGAAATAGATTTTTAAGTAAAAGATAAGAGAATGACAAAAAAATTAAAAACAGTATTGCCAGTTGGAAATGTTAAGGCAAAATTAAAATAATAATAGAATCCAATGATTTGAAAGGGCAAATATTCTTGAACTCTTATGAAAATCTTCTGCATAAATGTTTGATAAAATATTTCGCTATCTCTTAAACTATTAAATATATACTAGCAAAATTTCAATTTATATTTCTATTTTCTTTTCACAGCCTTAAAATGCTACCCCACACACCGCCAACCAGTCAAGAATTCCAAAGACAAACTGAAACACCTTCACCTACCAACACCACAACCTCGACCCCCTTATCAACTCCTAATTCTTTACATTCTTCTAGTTTTTTACATGATCCCACCTCCGGTTCAGCACCGGGTAAACATAAATCTGCCTTTCTACCCTATAGACCGCAAGCCACGGTCTTAACTAATCTACAAAGAGGCAATACCGAGGCTACTTTCTGTCCCGTCGAGGTTAAGCTATCCTTCCATGAAAGAGCTGGTCAAGGAGAAGTTACAGAAGAACAAATTTACCAACAAAAGGCCTCCGATATAGATGCTAAAGATTCTTTTGGTTTTACACCCTTACACTGGGCTAGCTATTATGGTCAATTGGCCACTGTACAGCCATTAATCGAGGCGGGTGCAAATGTTAACGAAGAAGCACCGGAAATGGTTACTCCTCTACTGTTGGCCGCTTCGGGAGGACATCATGAGGTGGTACGTTTGTTGTTGGAAAAAGGTGCCGATTATAGACATATGGATATTGTGGGTAATACCGCATTAATGTATGCCGCTGCTGGCAATCATCCTCATACTTGTAATGAACTCTTAGGCAAAGATCCAGAAATTTTGTCGACAGCCAATGAAAATGGTGATACGGCTTATTCGTTGTCTATCGAGAATGGTGCCACTTTGGCACAGGCCGTGCTGGAGCAATATTTAACATCTATTTTATCTTTATAGAATTAAGGAAAATCGTTTTGAATCAAAATATAAAAAGGTAAGTGTTTAGGGTCATTGATTTTGTTATATACATAGATATAGAATATAGATTCTAACATTTATTAAGTAAAAGCTAAATTTAGATAATTCGAATATGAAATTATTATAAAAATGCGATATGTATGTATATCAAAGCAAATGACAGCTAGAACTGACTTAGAACTGAACTAGAACCTGAATTAAATGAATTAGAACTAAAATAGAACTGAACTAGAACTGAAGTAGCACTGAACTAGAACCTGAACTGAATTAGAACTGAACTAGAAACCTGGGCGCAAATTACGGCATACGATATCGATCGAAATCTCCATTTAGATTCTATTAAGATTTCGATCGATATCGTATACCATAATTTGGACCCTGAACTGAACTAGAACTAAAATAGAATTGAATTAGAACTGAACTAGAATTGAACTAGAACTGTACTATAACCTGAACTGAACTAGAGTTTAACTAGAACTGAAATATAAA